TCTTTTAAAAACACAATAATTAAATGATAATCAACATTTGTAAAAAGATCCTTCATTGTTTTTACATTGAAATATTTATCCCTTATGCTGGAGAATTCAACACAGTCAAGCAGGACATGCTTGACCGTGGTTCTCTCATCACAAGGGATACAAAACGGAGGATCCTCACCTTTTAATACATATTTGTGAGTATAACGCGTATGGCCAATGCGACATCGTCGCATAATGACCTCCTCAAATCTGGACTGACAACCGAAGTAGGTGTAACGCTGATAGGGAAAATTACTGTTATTAAGACATTGGCTCTTTCAAAATTAGTTCATATTTTTAACACTTTACCTAACCCTCCAGGGGATTTTATCACCGCGCTTGAGAGAGTATTTTTTACATTCATCTGGAAATGACAAAAATGACAAAATCAAACGGAGCACTTTAAAAAAAGATAACAAAATGGGGGTGGGGGGCTACGGATGATTGATATTAAAACATTTGTTAACGGCATGAAGTTATCTACACTCAAACTATACTTAATAAACACAACAAATCCTGGTAACCCATGCAATTTTCCTTTTAAGGATATACTAAAATATGGAGCAATTTTTCAAAATATAGGTGCAGTTGATAATCCTTTTTGGAAAGACGTATTAAAAGCATGGAAATGATATTGTATTAAAAATACCATAGATCTTATCCAAACTTTTATGGCTGAATAACAATTTCAAAAACTCAGTTCACATCATTAGTCACTGGGCTAAAAGTGGAATCTTGACGATCAAAGATCTTTGTGATGAACATGGGTTTATATCCTTTGATCAATTGAAGCTTAAATTTGATATAAACGGTACTCACTTAGATCTTGGATATGTTATATATATTTTACCTGAACCTTGGAAAAAGACTTTAAAGAAATATAGATTCATAAACATTAATGGCCTCACAATAAATTCACTCCAAAAGGATTTCATATCCCCAAGAAAAGGTTCAAGATTATTCTAAGATAAATTGTTATCTGAAAATGTTAAACCTCACATGTGCCAAAAATGGAAAACATTATTTGACTGTATTGATTTTGATTGGCATTTGATTTTTAATATTTGTAGAAAGAATTTAAGAGACGTGAAACTGTTAGATTTTCAATATAAATTTCTGCACGGAATTGTTTATACCAAAAAAGAACTGTTTAGAATGAATCTGGTGGACAATACAATATGTTCTTTGTGTAATGATTTTGTTGAAACCTTATGCCATGTATATTGGGAATGTAATGAAACCAAAACTTTCTGGAAGAAACTTGAACAGTGGATTACGAAACGTATCCAAACACTTAATTTGACAAAATCTTTGATCTGGTTTGGCTTTTTAGGTAAGAACCCATTCCTGAACCACATAATCTTATCTGCTAAGAGATATATTTACACTTGCTCTTTGACAAAAACAATTCCAAAAGTTGATAATTACTTAAGGACATTGAAAGACATATTTACCACTGAATCATTCATCTCCAGAAGAAATAATAATGTTGAAAGATTTTTAGCCAACCGGTTTCCTCTCATCCCTGAATTTAACCCTGAATGACTATTAAACAAAAACATATCACTGATATTGATATTCAGTGTACTTAGTGTACTATATCGCTATTGAGCCCACTAGCTGCTATGCGCACATATTCCTCTATATGCTTGTACTCATCATGTTTTTGTACTCATCACATTGGGAACAATAAAAACAAACAAAATAAACAAAAAACAAACAAAACCTTTTACCTTCTCAATCCCATAGAGCGTGTTTTGGACCTTATAGGTCGCAGGACGTTCTAGAGAGATCCCCCATTACGAAACCGCGACAAGCGCAGGTATGTTGGAATACATCAGCTGAAAGTCAACGTCTGATACAGTCAGATAGGAGGAGAGTCAGGAATGTTACTGCTGCTGAAGGAGGTTACATCAGATTCTGACTTTGTGCTCGCTTATTCATATATGTGTTATTTCTTGTGGATTGTTAGCCAGAATCTTGAAAATGAACTGACCCGTGAAGATCCGGGTAAGACTTGATCTTCAGTAACCCATGCTTGTCGTGAGAGGGGACTAACGGAATCGGGTGGTCAGGCTCGCTGACTTGGTGCGGCGTAAAACTAAACTCACTAACTCACAGATGAACTTACTTGTTAAAGTCATACGACCATAGTGAATTATTTGACATGTTTCCTTCTCGATCGTTTAGACTTGCCATATAACTATTCCATTTATTGTTGTTTATCCAGATAGTAAATTGAATGGACTTCCGGATTAGTTCGTTTGCTATGGTTAAATGTTACCCATTGGAACTCTTAACATATGCTGTGTTGTGATACCTTTTTAACGTGTTATTTTCAAACACCTATTCGTAGCATCACTTCGTTAAGTACACACACAAGACATCTTAAAAAACTATGAAACAAAGTTGACTAAGTCATTTACAGCACAAAAGACTACTACGCAGGACAAATTGATTTACGAGTTATTTCATGTTGTTGAAAAAAAATTGTTGTCATAAATAATTACGACCACAAAAAGCACCACTCCTTTTCCCAAAACGTCAAGTCATGATAGTCGGGTCGATATCTACGTTACGTCTTGACTATCAGTGCGGTACGTTTTCGTGAATACTTTAAACATCCAAGCCGCTGAGATTAAAGCGTTGATTCGTCAAAGTCAGTTTACCGTCTCACACAATGGCGTTATGTTATAAGTCAATTTATGTTATCGCCCTACCACCACGATATAAACAACACAACACAACACAACACAACACAAGCGTGTCGGACGATGAACATAGATATTTGATGTGGCCATAGTTCTGAACAAAATCACCGGCGAGCCGTGACGTCTTTACAGTATCTAGAAGGTTTTTGTCCCATAGATAAAAGGGAATCTCTCGAGTCTCAAGTGAGAGGACTCGTCACAGATGACTATGTTTTCGCTTATTCCTACGCCACTTGGCGAAGAAGTTGCCATGTGGACTGTTTTCTCTGTCAGGATCGTGGTATCGATCCATCAACAGTTTACGAGCGTTATCTCCAATAACCGTTATTGACAAGAGAACTAAGGCGCATTGTAAACCAAAAGTCACTGTGTTCTTCAATCTGATTGGTTGAAAAGCGTGATCAAATGGTATTCGATTCCCGGAAATTCGCTGCGTATTAATACATACAAACATCGCTCACGACATTGTATTGTTACGTCGTCAGCTGTGATGACGTCATTCAAATCATATGTGACGTAAAGTCCGAATGACGTCACAAATGAGCAGTTCCAGATGCTACCATGAGAGACAGCCGAAACGGCCGGTTGATTACATTTCACTGCTGTACCCGTACACGATGTCAATGAGTGCAGACACAAAAACGTGTGTGGACCTTTTGGTTTACTTTTGTGTTTACAATGTCGATAAACATCATGTGTTGGCGTCGGTTCCAAATGAATTCCCGTGCTTCAAATACTCAATAACACCCAGAAATTGGCCAACACATGATGTATATCTCCTAATTTTGATCTGTCGAATTTACAGTTGCTTCAATGTCAATACCTAGTCCCTTGGTATTCGTTACTTATTCGTTGTGCTGAGTTTCGTATGGCTCAAAGTATTTACGTAGGTCACCTTCGACTTCGACACAATAGTGTTTGAAACAATCGAGTAAAGATTGGATAATCGATCACTTTCACAAATCATGTAGACAGTTCACTCATTGGCACCAAGATATTGGGATGAGGTCTCAGTAGGAATGAAACGACATTTTTACTATTGTGTAATAAGCAAGTTTCCACGGAGTTTCATCATTTCTAATTCAACGGTTACTCTTAATTATGTCGGATAGATTGGATGTTAGACAAGGCCACCTCCAGGCACTCTACTATCTTAACTCTGGCTACAATGTGTGAAGCCCATTTATGGTGTAACCTCGCCGTGATATTGCTGAAATATTGCTAATATGGCGTAAACCCATATTCACTCACTAACTCTAAGTCGCGGCCAATAGCGAAGACGCAAACGTCACCCAAAACGCCATGGCGTCGTGACATCCATTCAGACAAGGACCTACTGGTACAAAGCCTCTTTGGTTAGGTGATCGTAACTTCCCACTATTCTGAGGTCATCATCTTCTTTTAAACAACCCCTTCTAAGATGATAAATAAGGATCAAAACGTAAGGTGAGAACTATACTTTGTCAAAACAATTCGCGTAAAATTGGATGCATTCGCCACATTGCATGAAGATAGTAACAAAATTAAAGGGAACTATGAGATTATTTCGGGATCGGGATTTCCAACGATGCTCAATGTCAGTAAAATTAAAGTGTTAGGGTTAATATTTATCGTCACATCGGCAATATTTCAGCCATATCGTGACGAGAACAATTAACCATTATACCATAGATCAATAAAACTAGATATTAAAAGCCTGTTGACGAAGGAGAGTAAAATTACTAGTGCATCACAGATATTGAAGTGAAATTATCAAAAAACGATATTATTAAAGAGAACAATACAATATAAAAACAGGTTATAGATTAACAAATAACTGTAGGTAGATTACCACGAGACCATGGGGACCAGTAGAGTTAAGGGATGGCTAAAGATGGAGTAGAGGTCTTTTACATGTAACTGTATCTCTCAATACAGCCCTGATCTGACAGTTTTCTCACATTCATGTGAATGTACACATCTGTTGATGATCAGATGACATGATGCATATGGTAAATGACTTGCCTTTGCGGGTGTTTATGACTGGTGAGGCGTATGGGGCAGAAAACGATAACCGATTCATTCATATTGCTATAATTGCTTTCTCATAAGAGTTCAAACATATTCATATGAAATTATCTGTGTTTTTTTTCACTCAACACTTTTCATTGCTTCAGAATGGTGTCTCAATGTCATGACTAGGTGTCAAGACTAGATTTCAACATTGTGTGATACAATCACATAAAATGTAACCTGGTAATCCATCTTCCTAATTGACAGAGACGATGCGAGTTCTGTATGGCTTGGGATGACCAGATCGGGGTCTACGTGGAAATGGTTTGATCTTGACAAGCCTGTTTCAAACGGATACACGAACTGGGCTGCATCACGTACGTATCCCCAAGAGTGTAAATGCCCCAACGTTGATATTGTAAGTTGCTTTAAAGTGAGTGAGTTTAGTTTACTCTGCTTTTAGCAATATTCCAGCAATATCACGGCGGTGCTTTGAGTGAGTGAGTGAGTGACTTAGTTGTACACCGCACTCAGCAATATTCCAGATATATGGCGGCGGTCTGTTAATAATCGAGTCTGGACCCGACAATCCAGTGATCAACAGCATGAGCATCGATCTGCGCAATTGGGAACCGATGACATGTGTCAACCAAGTCAGTGAGCCTGACCACCCAATCTCGCTAGTCGCCTCGTGCGACAAGCACGCGTTCGTGGGTTCGAACCTGGGATTCGGTGTGATGACTTGCTGAAACGTTTCATCCTTCTCATGTGAATGGGGACGATGGGTAGTCTAGTGGTTAAAGTGTTCGCTCGTCACGCAGAAGACCGGGGTTCGATTCCCCACATGGATACAATGTGTGAAGACCGTTTCTGGTGTTCCCCGCCGTGATATTGTTGGAATACTGCTAAAAGCGGTGTAAAACTAAACTTACTCACTCTTATGTGAATGGTTAGTAGAGCGAACGGATTGCCCATTCGTCCCCTTTGAAACGCAAAAATCTTAAGATCGCGGGCTCGAATCCCGGTCGCCCTGGTTTTGTTCATAGGCCCATCATCACCTACGAGTCCTCTGGGCATCTTGGAACTGGTAAATGTGTATGTCCAGTTTTTCATTCAACTTAAAGCTGACCCCATCCATGTTCATGAAGATCAGGGTTAGAATTAGTCTTCAGTAACCAATGTTTGTCGTAAGAGGCGACTAACGGGATCGGGTGGTCAGGCTCGTTGACTTGGTTGACACATGTCATGGGATCCCAAATGCGTAGATCGATACTCACTGGACTGTCTTTTCCAGACTCGATTATTTACAGACCTCCGCCATATAGCTGCAATATTGCTGAGTGCGGCGTTAAACAACAAACCAACCAGCGACACGTTATAAATGGAGAATCGTTTCAAGCGTCTTCACAAAAAACAACAGCGATGTCGCTCACACATTCAGTTGATACTGATTATATTGTTAAATATATCTACCCCTTTTAGAACCTGTCGGGGTTTACAGTTGTGCAGTAATGGCCGGTACGTCATCAAAATGGACAACACACGATTGTACCAGCAATGCCGGTGGGATTGCCTGTCAACGGCAGCCTGACTTAAAGACAGGTAAGCAAACGTTACGTTTATTGACAGGGATGGATCCAGGATTTGGGAGAAGGTGAGGTGAGGTGAGGCGAAATTGGGTTTAACGTCGTGCTTGAGAATATTTCGCTCATATGACGACGTGCATGTGTGTGTATGTGTATGTGCGGCTGCTTGTACTAGCCCAGACTGAAGCTGGTTTTATAGTGCTAGCCCACTGAGATACCATGCCGCAGTGAAGCATGACTACCCCACTCAGACACATTATACTGACTCCGAGCCGACCAGTCCTTGTTGTACCCATTAATGCTGAACGCCAGGCAGGGACAAACAAGTACCATATTTTAACGTCTTTTCGCATGACGCGGTCGGGGATCGAACCCGCGACCTTCCGCTCTCCGGACGGACGCTCTAACCACTACACCACGGAGGCGGTCTTTTGGAGAAGGGGTGTAGCACATATATCCTGAAGTTCATAGGTTAGGGGCAAATGCTCTTCCGGTAATTTTTTTTCGGGTGAGAAGTAGGGGAGCGCACCCCCGCACCCTTCTCTGAATCCGTCTTTGATTAGTGCGTATGCTTAGTTTCTACGACCCATTCATACAATTTTTAGAATTACTTTTCCCTTTACTCTGAACGTAATTTGTTTCTGAGGATAGTGAAGACTGAATTCTTTTGCACTGGCGTTATGTATATATTTCATACAAGCTTTCCAAAACGTGAAGATCCGATTTACAAATGATCTTCAGTAACCCAGACTTGTTTTAAGAGGCAACTAACGAGATTGGCTGGTCAGGTTCGCTGACTTGGTTGACACACGTCATCGTATCCCATTTGCGTAGATCGATGCTCATGATGTTGATCACTGGATTGCCCGGATCTTCACGGGTCAGATCAATACAGAAGCATTGTTTCAGATACTTTATTACCTTAAATCTTGAACTAAAAGTTTCAACATAAATTGGGATAAGTCAGAGAGTCTTATTGCCGTTCAAGAAAGTCCACTCTTCGACCGATCCCAGTGAACATAACGAAGAAATGCACATCCAAACTATGGACTCGATCGGTGTTTAGCTGACACGTAACGTTAACTCTCAGCAAGCTATAAAATTCTACCAGAGCATATGTTTGACATGATATCGCCCAGTCGATCAACTATGAGGACAATATGTAAATGACACAGAATTATGAACTACTTCTGCAATCTCATCCCGACATATCTATGTTGTCGACCATTTTGATGTCCTCTATTTGGTATATTACGACGCGCTGTGACTGCGACTGTGACTGTGACTACCTAAGGAAGTTCTTAAGAAACTTGTTTCATCTAATGATGGTATCTGTTTATTGTAACCCAACAACAAAAGATGTTCAAAAAAAGCATGTCGTCATATATTTGATCATGTAAACTCTCCATTAGAAGAACTAATTTCTTCCGCGTCGCTGAATGGCTGTTATACATAGTCATACGCCATACGTGCAAAATGAAAATTGCGAAATGCATCGCTTAAATTGTGAAATAGTGGAAGAAAAAATACAAGAATTGACTTTTATTTGTGTGAGGTCACTGGAGTAGGTATCTTCACAGAATGAGGGCCAAAAATTGTATGAACGTCGTCGAAAAATATGGTATGTGTGCACATGCGTGTGTGGCTGTATGTGATAGACTGGATCAATGTTTACTTTGTTTGTTTGTTGTTTAACGCTGCACTCAGCGATATTCCAGCTATATGGCAACTGTCTGTAAATAATCGAGTCTGGATCAGACAATCCCGTGATCAACATCATGAGCATCGATCTACTCTATTCGGGATACGGTTAGGCCGTCCGTATTTTTTTCTGTGTTTCTCATCTCCCGACCAACCCAAATTTTCCTTACGACGGAACAAAAAAATAAATTATATCACAAAATGCCGCCGACAGCAATAATTTCAGCCCGATCAAACGAAAAATGTGTCTTAAAAGTAAACTTTGAAAAAAATATAATATTGTAAAAAGTCTCTCAAGCATCTAAATGGGCCATTCGTAACTACTAGCCTCTTTCCGTCACCTACATCCGGCTTGCCAGAATGACACGAGTAGTTACGAATGTTATTGTAGGTCACGGAAAGAGGCGAGTAGTTACGAATGGGTCCAACCTTAAACTGAGACAACGCATGTCTTCTGCGCGATGGGATCGGGGGCTGTTCTTGTTACTAAACACTTAGAGACAGTTAACCAGTACAGCCTTCACCATCACGTTCACGCTGATGCATATGGACAGTATATCTTTTCCGATGATATATCAATTGTGATATCCGGAAATATTTGTTATGTGATTCCATGATACACTGGGGATAGCCATGACTGCTTATATTGCATTAATGAATCGCAAAATGGCCATCGAAGCGAGGCGGTGGAATCAGCTGATCGTTTTCAGGTCATGTTTTGTTGACGTTTTGCAATCGGTAATTCAAATCTGGCACTAAATTTCTGAATATCACACTTTTAAGCCTGCAGTGATTTTCTGCACATGTACTCAAATCTATATTGTATTACTCCGATTAGGCTACATTCGTGTAATTCAGTACGGTCGGGAGCTGATATTGAGGGCGAAATGTGAACACATTGTTATGCAACGTGTGAATTTCGTCGTGAATTGTATCTGATATTTTTGTATGATGGTGCGTGTGTGCTTTAAGATTACATTACACATGCATGACTTTATTCAGTCATTGAACAGTATTATCTGTTAAATTTGTAAATGAAATATATAATGCACACACATATCTACATGGAATTTATGTCATCAAAAACATATTTGATTTTAAACACATTTTCTATGTTAATTTCTAACAAACAGATATGACACTAAAGTTTTCACCAGAACCGTTGAATGAAAATCAGAATATAAAGCTATAGCTAGATAGTATATGGTCTGTCACGTGAAATATTTAATCAACATTATGTTACTAAAACAATAAGATGCATATGTCATTCTATACACATAGAATTCTATCATACACATCCTCTTTATGGTCAGAATGATCCGTTATTTGTTAGGACAAATCTCTGTAAATGAGTACTTGTGTTTAGAGGTTGAATGGTGTTAAATTTTTTGTAAGAAATGGCTCAATAAAATAACGCATATACTGGACAAAAATAGTTAGGGATATATGTAAATTTTGAAATTCTGAATAATTATCTATTCATTCATTGACACACTGATAAAATATCAAACATAAAAATACCAACATCCCTAACTTATTTTGTCCAATATATAATGACTCACAGTACTGACTGATGGGCACATTTCATAAGGGCTAAATCTTTTATTTCAAACTATGATGACTGGTATTTGTGCTGCAACCGACTAATTGGATAATAGGTGTATGGTACATTAAGCATGCGTCAGAAACAAAGTGTCAGAATTTGAAAACAAAATGAAATATGTGAAGAACTGCTGATCAAAACTCACTATTCATATTTATAATTAAAGGTTACATTCTACACAGAATTTCTTCAATTGTCAGGAATGTGTAATAATCACAAATTTGCGATAAAGGTCCGTTGGTTGGAGGTGTATCTCCGATTCTTTATACACTGAGGTCGGTGGTAGTATGAGAACAACTTGTTAAATTTGATTGAGGCAATAGTTGAAGAATTGCCGTCGGAAATAACATAAGGGTGGATATATAAAGTAAGTTTACATTATTTCATAGATGCTATGACACCCGAGACTTACACTGTCTCGCATAATACAACTTTTTTTCCTAATATATGATATCAATGATACGGAAACATATTCGACTAATAATCTCTATATATGCTCACATCCATACTGTCACCAGTCCGGTATTCCGACTGCCTGTGTAGGGACGACCTCGAGCAGGATAATGCTGCTCGTAGGAAACGCCCTGGGGTTGAGCTGGAACTCCGCTCACCTAATTCCTGTAAGAGAGAAAGTATTTTACAGCCACATTGACAAGGTTCTTCCCGAAAGGGAGGTAATAAGCTGAGATTATATTCTACTAAGACATGTTTTACTCCAGCATTTTATGTCTGTCATAGCATCCCAAGAGCACATAGAAGTGCATTAGCAAATTTAGATGTGGCACAGCACCAATCAATATTGATCTGGGCAGATATGCCAATATTCCTCTACAAGAGAGAATATGTTTCAATTGTGTGAATGTAACTGAGGATGCCACGTTTGACTTGATTGTCCAGTGCACAGTGTCGAGCGAAAGAATCTTATTGATAATTGTCTTAGACTTTGTCCGGGTTTTATGAATATAAGCCATACTCGGAAAACTGCTTTTATCTAATGAAATTTTATGTTCTGAAAGTGCCCAAACCTGCCATAGTATTTTGAAAAAGAGAAAATGTGTTTTATATCAGTAACATGTACGAAATAGGTTTTATCGAGAATATTCAGTTTTATCACTTGTAAATACTTGTACATATATCGTCTCTCATAACTCTGTACGGAGTGACCCGTGTATTGCTGTTTTTATAATGTATATTGTAATGTACCTTGTAACGGGGTGAGACGTAATAAAATATCTCTCTCTTCATGTATACTGAAGAAGTTTGAGCTCAATTATTCCTTCGTCTTCGTCAGCGTATTGTTCGTATAATTATGAGCTAATTCCCCAGTCGACTCATATGTATTCGCAATTAATATACTTTTCCAAAAAAGAAACGCATAACCCAGAAATCTGTTGCGAAAATGTTGTATTTTCAAACATGTATAACTCGTCCACAAATAGACTTTAGTACATGCATTTTCGCATCAGTTTCGAAGAAGGAAATGTCTATACAACCAAGTGGATAATTTTAGATAACGGAGACATTGTGCGCCATGGTGACGACGTAGCACGGGTCCGACGTCGGATCTCCTGGCTCTCAATCCAATCTCTCTCAACCTGTTCCGTACAGTTTGACCGGATATCCTCCGAAGTCCAGGCACCATGGCTGCTCTGCTCTCAGCCGTGGCATACGATCTCGCAAATGTCGTACCCGGATGTACCGATCTTTGGCTACAGTGGTGACTCGAGGTCCGCCTGTGCGGGGACGGTCATTGGTTATGTCTGTTTGGCTGTAACGAGCTGTAAGCCGTGATATCGTGCTCAGACTAACATTCAGTCGCCTGGCAACAGAAAATTGGTAATCTCCAGCGTGCATTCTTTCAATGGCGAGGTTCGGTGCCGCAGCGTCAGGACGTGGCGTAGTGGTTTGACCTTGAAACACGTCACAATTTAATTCTGGAAATCGAGAAACTATCCGCACTGTGGCCAGTTTCTGAGAAAGGATTTAACTAAATTCAACCTGCAGTTATTATGAATATATGCCAAGGATGAAACAAATTTTAAAAATGTCGAAAACTAATTTAAACTACCTCGCCCTGGGCGAGAATGTTCTCCGAACTTAAGAGTTATTAAGCATCTCGCGCATGGGCGAGACTGTTTACTTTTGCTCAAAATTCATGTTTTGGGGTTTGTATGTGAATGAAATTTCATGGGTCGGCATATACGGTATTACAAGTCGAGCATATTTTATAATTATCAATTCAAATGTGTTTCAGACTTCAGTAATTCTTTGTTTTGTATCTCCAGATGCCACCAACCTCGCTCTTGAAGCAGAGACTAAAATTATGCACGACGTGAACGGTGCAGTGGCGGTTGACGGAGAGCAAAAACTTGACATCTCTTCCTGCACTGACAATGCATCATTCAATAACTACTATATAATTATTGACCTGGGACAAAATTCCAGCCTTACTCATATCGGCCTATTTGCGAGTAAGTTACTTTGTAATAAGACAATTTATTTACCTGAGTCATCTTTTGGAACTTAAAGCACTTTTGTGAATTAAGTCATACATGATGATGTTCATATCAATTCATTAGACAATCCAGTGATCGACTGCATGAGCATTGATATACGCAATTGGGATACGATGACACCAACGTTAGCAAGCCGGACCACCCGATCCAGTTGGTCGCCTCTTACCATAAGCATGGGTTGCTAAAGATTAATTCTAAGCCGGATTTTCATGGGTAAAATCGACAACGGCACCCTGATAATGTTGAAAACGTCGAGTCACTCACTCCTCACAAAGCAATGTCCTTCAAGTGTTTGGGTAGCAATTGAGATTCGCTATGCATGTCATTTCCCAGGCTTGCGGCATTGTGTTGAATAGTACTCACTGTAAGGCAAATTGGGCACCGTTAACTACTGAAACAACAACGACCATCTGTCCCGATTGTGAGTAGGAATCCGTAATCCGCTATAATTGTGAACCTTAATATATCAACAACAAAAAACATATTGTGGGTTCCACCAAAGTTGTAAATGTTTATCAGGCGACTGACAGGATCGGGTAATCATGAAGATCCGGGTTAGAATTATCTTAAGTAACTCATGCTTGTCGTAAGAGGCGATTGGATGGTCATGCTCGCTGACTTGGTCGTCACATGTCATCATATCCCAAGTGCATAGATCGATGCTCAAGCTGTTGAACATTGAATTGTCTGGTCCAGATTCGACTATTTACAGACCGCCGCCATACAGCTGGAATATTGCTGAGTGAGGCGGCAAAGAACATCCAATCCAATCCTATGTAAATGTTTATTATATGGTAACTAAAACACAAATGGTAAATTTGAAACCACGTAAGGAGCGAATTTAAGCAAACTCACTAACTATATGTCATTCATATTGCTAGAATATCCCGTGGAGAACACTACGGTGCATTTCAGTACCACCTGTACCGACAGAGATGACTGCTGGTCCAAATGCATCGTAGCTTCCCATAGAAGAAGAACTCAGTGGATAAATACCTGCGCTGCTGGCCACAGTAACAAGGCACACTTCATCCGACTAGTATTTCCAAATTTTCAAAGCATAAGTATCTGCGAAATCATCGTACTTGGTGGTGAGTGGTAACCCATAATCTATTATATGGTCTCTGCCATAAGGGACTAAAGGCGATGGTGGTAGCCTCGTGGTTAAATCGTTCGCTCGTCACGCCGGAGGCCCTGTTTCGATTCCTCACTTATGTACAGTGTGTGAAGCATTCTTGGTATCCTCCGTCATGATATCAGGGGTGGAAATAACCCATTGCCCGACGCCCGAGTCCAGTGTATTTTTTCTGTCGGGCAAGCAAATTTGTATGTCACACTGTACCGGTGTCCAGTTGACTTTCCAATATGAATTATGTTGTTTATTTAAAAAAGCAACAAGAAAAGGGCCGGTATAGTGGAAAAATTATCAGGGCAAGTGATTTTACATGTGCCACTGTACCGGAGTACACTAGCAATTTTAAAGTTATTTCCACCCCTTGATATTGTGGAATATTTCTAAAAGCGGCGTAAAACCATACTCACTCTCGACACCTTACGTCATTTGGTTTGAACATGTGAAGATCAGGGTTAGAATTGATCTTCAGTAACCCATGCTTGTCGTAAGAGGCGAGTAACGGGATCGTATGGTCAGGCTCGCTGACTTGGTTGACACATGTCATCGGTTCCCAATTGCGTAAATCGATGCTCATGATGTTGATCACTGGGTTGTCTGGTCCAGACTCGATTATTTACAAACCGCCGCCATATAGCTGGAATATTGCTGGGTGCGGCGTAAAACTAAACTCACTCACTCACTCATTTGGTTTCATATTTTTGGCAAAGTATACATTTTACTATTTGAAGAGCCTGAAAATCTCGATAAACTGATACATAGTTCCTTACTATGGATAACATTTCACACGATAAACGCGGAGGTCCACATGAACGGTCACTATGTGCTTTGTATTATTGTCATAATATACATATATGAAGTTAATGCAGAAATTGCATTTTAGTTAATGCACGACAATGTTGGTTAATTGGTAACGGTATACCGCGGACAAACACGTAAAAAGCAAATTTCTTCGTCGTATTAATTTCATCCTCAACATAATGAGTGAGTTATAGACACACTGGCAATATTTCGGCCATATCGGGACAAAAACAGCTCATACTTACATAACGTATAATGTTATATTATAAAATCTATCGACGAAGGGCAGTAAAGTAACTGGAATATCACAGTTAGAGATTCAAAATTAACACATAACTTATATTATTCAGGATACTACAATATAAACACGGGCTATAGATCTCCATACCAGGGACCATCGGGACTGTCATCCTCAATCCTCAACATAATTCATATTACAATACTGGCAGACTGTTGTTTTTCTTGGTTCTGTATCCACTATATTAATCTATGTACGTCTGAAACTTGCTCCGATATGGCTGAAATATTGCCGATGTGACGTTAAATATAAGTGACAAGCATAAAACTGCTATAAAAATTGTTGATTATGTTTAAGCTGAGTGTGCAAACCACTCAATGTATAAAATAGCTTAAATAAAGCAGTGGAAGTCGGTAAGCAGTGAGAGAGAGAGAGAGAGAGAGAGAGAGAGAGAGAGAGAGAGAGAGAGAGAGAGAGAGAGAGAGAGAGAGAGAGAGAGAGAGAGAGAGAGAGAGAGAGAGAGAGAGAGAGAGAGAGAGAGAGAGAGAGAGAGATGGAGAGAGAGGAGAGAGGAGGGAGAGAGAGAGATAAGAGAGAGAGAGAGATGGAGAGAGAGAGAGAGAGAGAGAGAGAGAGAGAGAGAGGGGTGAGAGAGAGAGAGATGGAGAGAGAGAGAGAGAGAGAGAGAGAGAGAGAGAGAGAGAGAGAGAGAGAGAGAGAGAGAGAGAGAGAGAGAGAGAGAGAGAGAGAGAGAGAGAGAGAGAGAGAGAGAGAGAGAGAGAGAGAGACATTTCCTCCACATTTTATTTCGAAGATATACATTATCATTCATTCACAAGCGAGCATGGTCAATAAAGAAAACACTATATATATGTACAAGTAAAGTGAGTTATAAGTGAAACATATCAATCATAACAAAGCAATAAAGGTTGTTTGATGGAATACACAAACGATGCAAATGTGATTATTCATGCCAGGACGGTGATGATGAATTAGCTCTACCCATCAAGAATTCCTTTGTAAACTGAGTAACTGTGCTGTATTGCTTCTTTCCCATCGGTTTCAGCGAGTGCCGCACCCACAACCACCACCCCTACAACGACAACAACAACAACTACAATGCCCTCCACGACTTCAACAACTACAACGCCCACCACGACATCAACAACTACAACGCCCACCACGACTTCAACAACTACAACACCAACAACGACTTCAACAACTACAACGCCCACCACGACTTCAACAACTACAACAACGCCCACCACGACTTCAACAACTACAACGCCATCCACGACTTCAACAACTACAACGCCCACCACGACCTCAACATCTACAACGCCCACCACAACAACGTACACATCAACTACCACAGCATCAACAACAACAGCGACCATCACAGCCGCATTAACAACCACAACTTCAGTGCCCGTCACAACCATAGCAACGGGTTCTCCTCTCATCTCAACCACAACTTCAGTGCCCGCAACAACTACAACAGCGGCAGCTTCTACGTCCATCATCACCACCACCCCAGCTACAATCACAGCGGTGACCACATCCACATCCACAAATTCGGCGCACACCACAACCACCACAATGGCCCCAATATCAGTGTCTAACTCAACATCGCCGCCGTCATCTTCCACGTTATTTTCATCTTCGTCGACATCACCTGCTGTAATTACATCCGATGCTGTCACAACAGTCCACCCAGACGGGCAGGTTCTTGCTTGGGATAGCTATGGAAGAGCGATACGAAAAAAGTGCACCTGTCGCTGTAAACCCCCTGCAGTTCCAAAGGTTGAAAAAGAGGCTGTTGAAAGAGGCGATGAACTGAAAGATGAATTAATAGTTGAAGCAGGCCTCTTGTCAACAGAAATTGCTAAGAAGATCAGCAAACAGGACGACAGAAAATCGTCAAATGTTATTGGGATGTCAGGAATAGCGATGTTGATACTTCCCATTCTTTTCATCGTCATCCCAGACCTGCTGACCTTCTTGAAGTGGTTGTGTAGGTGTTGATGTGACATGTTTGTGATTGATGCTACCAGAGGCACAGCAGGGCAAAAAAGTCTACATTTACAAGCTTGTAAATGTCTTGCGATTTACAGTTTTGTAAACCTAAGTTTTACAATGAATTTACTAATTTGCAAAAATGATATTTACACAAAATAGCAAAATTTTGTAAATATTCGCAAAGAGAGATAACTGGTGTGTAGTGGTAAATGCTTGTTCTGTATGGGCAGGATATGCTCACCTGTTCCACAACACCTTGTGTCCTCACAATCTGACAGTGTTTACAATCGCTTGCATATACGTACAACATTCGCATTCTTATATTGCTTTTCAAAACCTGCTGATGAAAGAATTACGGTCAAGCATGGCCTGCTCGACTGTACTGATTTTCCCATCACAAGGGATACATATTTCAGCGTAAAAACAAAGAGGAGTCCTTTTAATAATGATAATGCCAACTTAAATATTGCATTTTTAAGAGAAAAGAATTATCAGAAGAAAAAATTACAAATATTTTGTAAAGAGATAACTATTTGTTTAATCGGTAGTTTTAATGAACAACTTAAATTGTTGGTGGCTGTATCCTCACAGGGGGTTGTAAAAAATATTGTCTTCCTGTGAGGGTACGTGAAAGTTGAGCTTAGCAGATGTTCAATCGTAAGATATGTGTTCTGTTAATGCTTGGCTAAATTTGTCATAATCGCCAACATCTGAAGGGATGGTTTAAATCCAGGTAGCATCCATGTAGGCAGTAAAAGCACCATAAGTCCCTACGGTCTCTCCTATGCTGTTCTGCCTTCAGTTATTGGCGATCTACAGACTGTGTTTATATTGTATTGTTCACATTTGTATATTATATATTGTTCACATTAATGCTTTAATTCTAGATTCAATGCTAGTTATAACTTTATATCTGTGATGCTCAAGTAGTTTTACTGTCCATCGACGACAGGCTTTTACATCCTAAATGTTTTCATATTTGGTACATAAATTGTTTTCGACACGATATGGCTGGAATACTGCCGATTGACACCGAATATAAAATCACTCACTTACTTTTCAAAACGTCAAATATCACAGTTTTGTACACATGTAGCAAGATTTATCATATGTTTTGCTTAGTGTTTTTATTGAAAATGAAACATGGAACAAAACACAATTCAAACAAACACGACCTTCCAGGCTAAGCCGATTTTATGTGAACAGTGAATTCACCCTGATGAAACCAGATAGTGTCCGTTTCAATTATTAATTTGGTCATATTTGGGCAATAAGGTAAACCGCATTTGAATAACTTTTTGTGATGATTCTGGCGTAGCTATTCATCTCTGAACATGAAAGGTGATCCCGGTTCGATTCGCCACATCGATACAATATTTGAAGAGAATTTCTAGTCATCCTCGACGGGGGATGTTTTTGGATATTGCTATAAAACGCACTCAGTCCACAATGAAAAAATATGTTCACTTTGTAATTTGAGATTATTTCACCTTTGAAAAGATATTTGAAGGCTGACATACATACATTAAGTCAGATATGACCCCCACAATGACACTACAAATAACCACTTTAACGCTAAATAAATATTACCAATTGCATGTATTAGTGTTCACTCAATTCTATCACTGTTTAGAATTTGGCAAAATGAAAATTGGGCTAAAGCTTAATGATTTCTAATGATGTTTTATAACCTTTGACAGTTTGGATTTCATATTATATGTTTTATAAGGTCGGGATTGGTGAAACAAAAGTGTTTTAGTATCAAGAAACGTTTTGAGGACAAACATCCTATGAAAGACCGATTACGTTGTTTAAATGGCAACACCAAACCAAACCAAATAATTAATTAGAACTGCACGCAGTAGGGAGTCATTTTCGATTTTGACACTTTCATGGGTGGTTGATTGATCTCTGCAGACCCTTATTTCGGTCAATGCGAATGGTTCTGCTGACTGGTTTACTTGATTTCATCCATGGCTGGGTTGGAACTAGCGATACGGTTTCTGAAAAGTGCGGATCTTCAAGCTGGAAAATGGCGGAAGTCGGCGTGCAGAGGCCAGTGCGCTCAACGTGTCACAGTCTGTGATTTGCACACTGTTTAGCAGACGTCTTTCAGTGGCATTTAGAAGTTGTACATTGATGTCCAAGATATTTTTTATGGATTAAACTTCTTTATAATTTCCCTCACGACGTTTCGAGACCATTCCAGGTCCCTTCATCAGGTGAACTGACAGTTGGGACTATAACTTAGTTATGAGTGAGTGAGTGAGTTAAAATTTAACCTCACCTCGGCAATATTTCAGCCATATAGTGACGAGACATGTTTTGCATAAACAATAAATTTAAGTTGCTAAATAATCAGTCATCGAGGGACTGTAAAATAACTAGAGTATCACAGATGGAGTCTAAAACTAGCATGAACATGTAAAACTATTTTATTTACGAAGACAGTACAATATAAAAACGGGCTATAGATAATAATAATAATGTGTCCATTTATATAGCGCCAAACTCCACACTAGGTATGCTCATAGCGCTAACAATCAAGGCCATTATTACCCCGGATAACCCAAGCTGCCTGTTAGGCGCTAGAAGGTTATAGGCATATGACTTTTTTTCCACCGGGTACCCATTTTCCTGCTGGGTGAACAGAGACAATTTTGAACAAACTCACTTGCCTAAGGTGAGACCACATGTGTCACATGTGCTTCGTTGTGGGGCAGGACTCAAGTCCTAGAAACTCTCAGGAGTCAAGCTGCCAAACACGGTCACCCATCCAAGGACTCTCCGAGCTCGACGCTGCTTAACTTCACCGATTTGTGACCTGAGCTTTAAGCACAGGACCACGCGCCAACAACTGAATGTAGATCACCATACTAGGAACCATGGACTCTGTTATGACGTCATAGTGACGACGTCATAGTCCCAACTGTCAGTTCACCTGATGAAGGGACCTGGAATGGTCACGAAACGTCGTGAGGGAAATTATAAAGAAGTTTAATCCATAAAAAAATATCTTGGATATTTAGCAGACATTAACAAACACAAAATGCTGACGATGCTCTACTTTCGGAGATCCCAAAGTGCTTATGAAAGACTTATTTTGCACCATTTATGTTGTACATTAGTTTAGGTAGCTCTTGAATGATATTAGTAGTGTATCACCTTCTTCTGGGCTGACATGGACTGTGTAACAGTTTACTACTGAGCGAAGCGCTACTTTATTTTGCAAAAGGAGCAACGCGCTACATTATTCTGCAAATGGAGTAAAGCGCTACATTATTCTGCAAATGGCGTAAAGTGCTACATTATTCTGCGAAAGGAGTAAAGCACTACATTGTTCTGCAAATGGAGTAAAGTGCTACATTATTCTGCAAATGCAGTAAAGTGCTACATTATTCTGCAAATGGAGCAAAGCACTACATTATTCTGCAAAAGGAGCAAAGAGTTACATTAGTCTGCAAATGGAGTAAAGCGCTACATTATTCTGCAAATGGAGTAAAGTGCTACATTATTCTGCAAATGGAGTAAAGTGCTACATTATTCTCCAAATGGAGCAAAGCGCTACATTATTCTGCAAATGGAGCAAAGCGCTACATTATTCTGCAAATGGAGTAAAGTGCTACATTATTCTGCAAATGGAGCAAAGCGCTACATTATTCTGCAAAAGGAGCAAAGAGTTACATTAGTCTGCAAATGGAGTAAAGCGCTACATTATTCTGCAAAAGGAGTAAAGTGCTACATTATTCTGCAAATGGAGTAAAGTGCTACATTATTCTGCAAATGGAGCAAAGCGCTACATTATTCTGCAAATGGAGCAAAGCGCTACATTATTCTGCAAAAGGAGCAAAGAGTTACATTTTTCTGCAAAAGGAGCAACTTCTTGACTTTAATATGGCTATAACTATACCATCAGATTATAGGTTGTACCATAATCAGTATATGTGTGTCACGCACACTGTGGAATCATGTTATATACGGGGGTTGAAGGAAGTGTGTACAGAACATTTATGTTTCGTTTTACGGATGAGAAAGATACTTTGGATGAATCTAATTTGTAAGCCTCATGAGAAATAAAGCACATTGAGTTTTACTGTGTAGTTGTTTTCAGTACAAACTGGACAATCTGTAAGAGAGCTATCAAAAGGTTTGGACCTAGAATACTTCTGATGTTTGCATGATAAAAATAACTGTGTGATATTGAAGAATGGTTTATATCATTCACATAAACGTAATAAACAGCTGCACGAGTACTGGGTCCCATGGGGTACTCATACTGTTGTCATCGCACTTCAATGTGCTTCGCCGGGTGGCCCTCGAGGACCAAAGACTTTATGACTGCTCTGTACTCAAGCTTATCCATTTCTGCCGTTTAGAGGTACATGTCACGGGAAAGGAAACTAGTGACATGTATAAAGTCAAACACGAATTCAGGTGACAAACTTTAGATATGAACATTACATTACCATGTCTCTTCAAGACAAGGCGCATATGTTAGATCATACTTGATCTTTGTAAACTTTTAATATCCTGGATCTCATGACGTCGTTTTAAATATAAATGAGGTTGGTGATTTTCAGTGAGTGAGTGAGTTTAGCTATACGCCGCACTCAGCAGTATTCCAGCTATATGGCGGCTGTCTGTAAATAATCGAGTCTGGACCAGACAGTCAGTTATCAACAGCATGAACATCGGTCTACGCAATTGGGATACGATGACATATGTCAACCAAGTCAGGGAGCCTGACCAACCGATCCCGTTAGTCGCCTCTTACAAGCATGGGTTAATGACGATCGATTCTAACCCTGTTCTTCACAGGTCGGTTATTTGCAGACAGAAACGACCTTTCCTAACTCATACCAGTGCCGTCGAACCTGAGACTTCAACTATGTCAAAGTGATTGAGGCCAACAGAACTTTATTAATCAAACCACAGATACAGTTATTTTCTGATTCTAACACTGTACCATGTGACAATCAGTGTCTCCAAATATTTCAAAGACACAAAATTGACGTAATGAGTTTAATGAGCTAACGGAGAAGCCAGGAAAAATGTATATTACATCGTGCTTAAATACACACAGGCATACAGGTTTAATTTTAATTAGTGTAAATAACTACCTGAACACACCTTAACGGTGTCTCAGCACCAATGAACACAGATGTAATATTTACATATTTCGGAATATCCTACACCTGTACAATGTTAAAAGAAATAATGTAGACTCTTTAAATCTTGTCCTCGTTCATTACGACAGTTTTAAGATTTACATATAGTGATGCATCGATTATCAAAGAGCTGTAAAGGATGTAATGTAATGACATTTGTCCATCATCAAATCTATAAATGAAACAGTTTCATAACATGTTCGTACTGCCAATTAGATACAGGTATGTTTGTATCGCTGAGAGTTTCATCTGTGCACATGTTAACATACAACATGACCTAAAGAACCCACGCAGCACATCATATTGTGTTATGTGTACAATGTTTCCTGAAACATCAGTAAAATGTCAAGAAACATGGTAATTATACCACAGGTGGAAACGCTAACGAGTTAAACACATAGAATATATGTCAAATATTAGAATTAACAGTCTCCAAACATCGAATATTGATTGGAAAGCTACACACACTATTCCGGAGTGGATACCAATATACTGAAGCTATTATTGATATTCCTGTTCTTCGCTAGTAAGGTTCTTATTAACAAATTGTGATTTCAACCCGTCTATGTGAGAAATGTATACATTGTACTCCCAGCCCTCATGCTATTACATTTGGTTTGTATTAGAAATTTTGACAGAAGAAAAGGTCATACAAATCCCTTTCCTTAATCTTGATAGCTTATATGTAAAGGACAAAAGCCTTTTCACGTCCATAGAAAACCAGAATAAAATTAACGATTCTGACTAAATCATTCTGAGAATGTATTTATCACAACAAATAGCAATAATCACAAGAGTTCGCGAAAAGGTGGCAAATAAAACACAGGGTTTCATTTCACTATCCCCATCGACACAGCTAAAGCAATGTATATGTGCTTTAGATATACTCATTTCAAAGGAGCGATCGACCGCATCACACGACCTTTATAATCCCAATATCACAAGAGAAAAAATATTGCTATATCGATAATAAGAAGAACTAAGATTGCGTTACAAACACCTGCACACGTACACTTGTCAACAAATATAAGAAAGTTACAACACAATCATTCAATACCCAGTAGACAGAAATCATCAATATTACATCTCGAAAGTCGGGACCTGATTTCCGACTTAAGATAAAATTGCGTGACTATAGAATTTCACAAAGAAACTATAGAACCCCAAAGTGTTTTTGTTCGTCAGTGGAGCACGATTATCAGACACGATATATAACCATATATCAGATATTTATATCTGTGGACAAAGTTTTGATTTATTGTGTGATTAAATCTGAAATAACATACGCTGGAATTTTGCCAGACAGTTGTCAAGAGAACTGGCATGCTGTTTCTCATGGTCACGTTATGATTAACTGTATTGAAATTAAAAGTTGCCTTTCACAATATATCGTCAAATACATATTTTTAAGATGTTTTCGACCACAAATTGTAAGCAACTTCTGTTTCTTTGATCATTTGTGTACCAATGTCTAGGTGGGCTCAAAATTGATGAAACAACACTTCTAGTAAAATATGTCATTTTTTCAAACTCGCAAACACCTTGCTCAAGTTAAGGTAAAATGCAAATGCTAGATCTACATAACATGTGTTAGCAAAGTTAGGGAAATTGCAAATAGAACACTGTAAGTTATGACAATACGCTTAAAAACGTGTTTTCTGGTACACAGCCTCAAATTATTATAATGTGTTTTCTGGTACACAGAATGAAATTATTTATAAAAATAATAATCCATATATTCAAGTTTAATATGCTAAGATTTTTCAGTTGTTTAAAATTTGATCATAGTTATTACGTCAAAGAATATATACAGTGTATGTACCCACTATATGACACAAATCTTCATTTCAACATATGTTTCAAGGTTACCCCTAGAAAAAAGCCTTTTTACAGTTAACCTTATTATTGTTCTTGGTATTACATGTATTATTATATACATTCGAACTCTCCACAAAAGCGGGCAATCAAAATTTACAGTTACCCAATAGTTGCTTTAAAAATTGTGCACATGAATATTGATAATGTTAAAAAACCATAAAGAAAACAATGGGCTTATTATGCCAATAGCTAAAAGATAAAAAACTGTGTTAATATAATGAATATATAATATGATGAGTTGTAGCACGTCTGTTGCAACACAGATCGATCAGATCCCATATGACCAGACAGAGGATGGGCGTCCAGGCAATGGCAAGAACCACAGATGCAACAACAGCCGCCGACTGTCTGTCATCGGATGCAGTTGTCTTCTCACGTCGATGTTTGGAGAGGCCCTTCTTCTCGATACGCAGGCTCTTTATGGCACTAAAAGTGGTCGATGTAGCCCAGACTGGATTCTCACATCGCTCGTAACATCTTTGTAATGCAGCATTTATGGTCGAAGTGATTATACCACTGACATTGAGGAGTCCTGCAAATGTACTGCTGCTTCCTCTGGTGTTGACGGTCGTGGCGGGATGCGTGTCCACAAGTGTAGTCGATGTAGTTGTGATAAAGCCCGGTGTTGTTTTATTTTGGGTTGATGTCATATGGGTCGCGGTTGAAGAAATTTTGACTGTAGTCGTTGAAATAGGGGCGATTGGTGTTGATGTGGTAGCCAATGTGTTTGTAGGAGTCTTTGAGGCAGTAGTCTCAGTTCCTGATGTTGGTCGTGTAGAAATGGTTGTTCTTATCGATTTGACTCGGGATGAGGAAGTTAGTGGTGTTGCTGGCTTCTTCGTAGATTTCATTGTGTTTCTAGGAGTTGTTGAGGCGGTGGTCTCAGTTTCGGAGTTTGACCTTTCAGAAATGGTTGTTCTTATCGATTTGGATTGGGGTGGGGATGTTGGTGGTGTGGCTGGCTTCTTCGTAGATTTCATTGTGTTTCTAGGAGTTGTTGAGGCGGTGGTCTCAGTTTCGGAGTTTGGCCTTTCAGAAATGGTTGTTCTTATCGATTTGGATTGGGGTGGGGATGTTGGTGGTGTGGCTGGCTTCTTCGTAGATTTCATTGTGTTTCTAGGAGTTGTTGAGGCGGTGGTCTCAGTTTCGGAGTTTGGCCTTTCAGAAATGGTTGTTCTTATCGATTTGGATTGGGGTCGGGATGTTGGTGGTGTGGCTGGCTTCTTCGTAGATTTCTTGGACTTTGTTTTGGACTCTGTCACAGAAGAAAAACAAAATCACGAATTGACAGTAAACTAATTAATCAAATGCTCTGTCACCATGACACCTATCCATTCATTCACTGTCACAATAAGACACCGGTCAAAAGCCCTTGAAGAAATATTATACTTTGAACTTTAATGCCTGTAAACCACAACACATCAGAACGTGTCATCATGCCTCCTGAAGGAAGGCCACACGTGACTTTTCAGGATGCATATGCCACACGTACGACTGATCCGAAAACCAGGCTCTACCAAATCGAGTTCGATGGACAGGATATGTTTCAATCTTTTACCAGGCTATGTGTGTCGCGTGTTTTGCAATAGCCTTTAGATTGCCCTTTGTTACAACAGTCATTAAATCACGGTCATTTACATGATCGTTTGTTAAACAACTTTTCCCCTTCTTCATGCCAATGTCTGAAATTATAGTGACGATTTGGTATGGTGAGTGAGTTTAGTTTACGCCGCACTCAGCAATATTCCAGCTATATGGCGGCGGCCTGTAAATAATCGAGTCTGGACCAGACAATCCAGTGATCAACATCATGAACATCGATCTGCACAACTGGGAACCGATGACATGTGTCAACCAAGTCAGCGAGCCTGACCACCCAATCCCGTTAGTCGCCTCTTACGACAAGCAGAGTCGCCTTCTGTGACAAGCATGGGTTGCTGAAGACCTATTCAACCCCGGATCTTCACGGGTCGATTTGGTATGGACAAATGGTTAACCTTTCATGCCATGTAAGACGATTTATTTCCTTTGAATGTATATTTATTTGCCATTTCATTGATACGATTTTGCAGCAAACAGGCTGTCGCATCATTGTGAAACGAAGAATATCCTTTGTCAAAGAAATAATCTACACAGGTCAGCTATCATGCAGTAGACCTCTTCACCAACATATCACACTGCATAAAACCCTCCAAGTCCTACACAGCAAATTGCAGGCCCAAACTGACCAGTTGGACACCCCTCTCCCCACTCTCTTTCTGACAAACTTTGAAGAAGCAGCCATATCATCTCCCCCCTTCCATCCCCTGGTACAGAAACGTAGTTGACACCCTCACAACCTAGACAGAGACCATGACCCTGAAGCCCTACTGGACTACCTCAACTTACCCCACCATTGAATCAAATTCACAATGGAAACAAAAAAACACCACCAAGTAGCCTTAGATGTAAAACTGGACAACAGTGAGTGAGTGAGTCACATCGGTTGATTTTCGTGTCATCTAATCTAATTACCCCATCATGTTTTGCATCAAATGTGACTCAGTGAATCATAGTCACGTGTGTGTCTAAAATACTGCGCAACCATCACCCTCCATAACAACAATCCTGTTAAAACGTGTTTAAACCTAACCCTCTCACTCGCGTATGATTATCACTTGCCTTTGCATTTCAGTATGGCCGGTGCCATCGGTCGGACAATGTACACCCACCATTATTTCGTAATTTCAACGTGTTACAAATCCATAACCTTACAACGTATTGTTTTACCTAAGTGAGTGAGTGAATGGTTTTACGCCGCTTTTTAGCAATATTCAAGCAATATCACGGCGGGGGACACCAGAAATGGGCTTCACACATTGTACCCATGTGGGGAATCGAACCCGGGTCTTCGGCGTGACGAGCGAACGCTTTAACCACTAGGCTACCCCACCGCCCCTGTTTTACCTAAGGAGCACCAAACCTGTACTGTGTCAACTGTCTGCGGCGCAACCATGACCCTTCATAACAACAATCTTGTTAAAACGTGTTTACATCAAACCCTCTCACTGATTATCCCATGAATAATATTGAGTCCTAGATAACTTTTAATTCTTAACCTGTCCTTTAGACCGCAGAAATATGATCGGATCCCTTTTCAGACATCCAAACTTAAACTGATTTACATTAGGCTTGCATATTATGAAAATGTCGCTATGGACGATCTTCAAATATGTAAATGTGAACGTACCGTTGCATAATAAACTGTACAGAATTGAGCGAACACTGTCCAGCTGACTGAAGCTGTCAATGGAAATAATGTTGTCTGATATTGGCCTTGACGCCATTGTATCAAACACTTCAGGATTGGATGTAATTGCCAGGGCGATGAGGCGGACCTCACTGTTTTTAAGTTTCTTTGCTTCACGAGTTATATTGGCAGTCTCCTCATTTGGACTTCCACCAGCGACTAGGATAGCCACATTGGTGATGTTGTCTCTGTCTCCTCCTTCTTGTGTGAAGACACGTCTCTTGGTCAAGCGCAGTGCTGCTGTAACATCGGCACCGGTGTCATCATAGTTTATGGCAGAAATTGCGTCAAGTATTTCCTTCCTGCTGTTGAACTGACTTAGAGTTACCTCTACCCTTGCTTCCGTTCCAAAAACCACGATGCCAATTCGGACGTTGCCCTCATCAATTGGCAATTTCGAGATAAATGTCTGCAGAAAACGTAGTTGCTCTTGAAAATGTTCAGCTCCAATACTGCCAGATGCATCCACAATAAATGCGAGATCCATATAAGTTTGCTGACACTCTGCAAATATAAAGATAACAGTTGTAAACGAACAACACATACGAGACCAGAATGGGCTGCCTGGGCACATTGCTAAAATGGATATTTATCCGTAGATGTATTGATCTATTCAAGGACACACTACGATCTTGTCATGGGTTTCAGTGTCATGGTACCACTCCTAACAAAACTCATATGTGTTTCCCGCTTTGAAGTATACTTCCTTTCAAAATTTTAGACTCACTAGTGTAGATGTAGCCACTTACTTCGGGCACCTGTTCTAAACTAAATTTTGCAAAATATTCCATAATGTTTAAAGGTACTGTTTACACATGAACTGATGTATTGCAATGCAAATTCGCAACGTTGAAAAGATTATTCTCAAGAATTCAATAAATGATAAAAATCAGAGAAAATTGGCGAATTCTTAACAAAACTTTACACCAAAACGCAGCTGTTCACATGCACGATATTTGCAAATGCTTTTCAGCAATTTAATGCATGATCCTTGTGCAGTTCATCTACATAAGGTTTGCAGTTGGTTCCCCTAAGTTAGTGGAGAAATCAATCTTTGATGTAACCACATATATATGTATAACATATAGTGAGTGTTTTAAGTGAGCCTAAACTTTCGAAAGGAAATGTATATATTTTCGAGTATATTTAGCTATCGGGATGTATCACTGTGCAACCATATATACTGATATGTACATTTCTCTCAATCACCGTCGGTTCCTTCACATTATTATGTGGATACCTGCACGTAACACATGCCAAGTTGTAACTGCAATATTCAAAGCTTATCTGACAATAGATTAAGCAAATGAGAACGCACCGTTGCATAATAAACTGTACAGAATTGAGAGAACGCTGTCTAGCTGGCTGAAGTTGTCAATGGAAATAATGTTGTCTGATGTAAGCATTGACGCAAATGTATGAAACACTTCAGGATTGGATGTTATTGTCAGGGTGATGAGGCGGACCCCACTGTTCCTCAGTTGCTGTGCTTCCTGAGCTGTATAATAAGTATTCACATTCGGACTTCCATCAGCGATAAGGATAGCCACATTGGTGACATTGTCTCTGTCTCCTTCCTGTGTAAAAACACGTTTCCTGGTCAAGCGCAGTGCTGCTGCAACGTTGGTATTAGAGTGATCATAGGTTATGGCGGTAATTGCGTCACGTATTTCCGTCGTGGTGTTGAACCGACTTAGAGTGAACTCTACTCTTGCTTTGGTTCCAAAAACCACGATGCCAATTCGGACGTTGCCCTCATCAATTGGCATTTTCGAGATAAAAGTCTTCAGAAATTGTAGTTGCTCTTGAAAGTGTTCAGTTCCAACACTGCCAGATGCATCCACAATAAATACGAGATCCATGTAAGTATGTTGACACTCTGCAAATATAAAGATAACAGTTGTAAACTTGTAACACATACGAGACCAAAATGGGTTGTCTGGATATATAAGAAAATGCATATTTGTCTGTGGATGTATTGATCTATTCAAGGACACATAGCGTCACTACGATCTTACCATGGGTGTCCTGTGTCATGGTACCACTCCCAACTAAACTCATGGAACTTGTTATTTTGGGGATTACACCTTCTCAGTGTAGTACACATTCTGGTACCTTTGTTAAGTTAAGCCACTAAGTACGTAATCTCGATCTAGACTACCGGTTGTAAACTTTTCATCTTGTGGAAATTTCGGTGGCTGAGAGGGAGGCAGACTTTGTTTGATGGCCATTACGTGCCTGACTCTGAAGGTGTGGGTTAGAATCCCGGATGGGAATCAACCTAATAAAAGTACTAAAATCTGTACTATACTGACAAAGCGTAATCCTCACCATTTCGTATCTCATATGATCTAGACGTTGTGACGAATGTATTTCCGAGTATAATAATGCATCAGTTTGCAAATAAATATATAATGAAATCTACGTTTCCTCAATCACTGTCGGCTCTTTGACATCATAATATGGACATCATGATATGGACACTATGGCATGGACACTATGATATGGACATCATGATATGGACACTATGGCATGGACATCATGATATGGACACTATGGCATGGACACTATGATATGGAATCATGATATGGACACTATGGCATGGGCACTATGATATGGACATCATGATATGGACACTATGGCATGGACATCATGATATGGACATCGTCATATGGACACTATGGCATGGAAACTATGATATGGACATCATGATCTGGACATCATGATATGGACATCATGATATGGACACTATGGCATGGACACGATGATATGGACATCATGATATGGACACTATGGCATGGACACTATGATATGGACATCATGATATGGACACTATGGCATGGACACTATGATATGGACATCATGATATGGACACTATGATATGGACATCATGATATGAACACTATGGCATGGACACTATGATATGGACATCATGATATGGACACTATGGCATGGACACTATGATATGGACATCATGATATGGACACTATGGCATGGACATCATGATATGGACACTATGGCATGGACACTATGATATGGACACTATGGCATGGACTCTATGATATGGACATCATGATATGGACATCATGATACGGACATCGTGATATTTACACTATGGCATGGACTCTATGATATGGACATCATGATATGGACACTATGGCATGGACACTATGATATGGACATCATGATATGGACATCATGTTATGGACACTATGATATGGACATCATGATATGGACATCATGTTATGGACATCATGATATGGACATCATGATATGGACACTATGATATGGACATCATGATATGGACACTATGATATGGACATCATGATATGGACACTGTGATATCGACATCATGATATGGACACTATGATATGGACATCATGATATGGGCATCATGATATGGACACTATGATATGGACACTATGGTATGGACATCATGATAAAACACAGTGCAAAGCTGCAACTACAATATTCAAAGCATGTGTGACTATATATTATGTGATAAGAACGCACCGTTATATAATAAACTGTACAGAATGGGGTTAACGTGGTCGAACTGGCTGATGCTGCCAATGGAAATGACGTTGACTGATGCAGGCGTGGACGCAATTGTATCAAACTCTTCAGCATAGCCTGTAATTTCCAGAGCTATGATACGGACCCCACTCTCCTTCAGTTGATTTGCTTCATATTTAGTGCCCTGATTCGGACTTCCACCAGCGACAAGGATAGCCACATTGGTGACATTGTCTCTGTCTCCTTCTTCAGGTGTGAAGACACGTTTCCTGGTCAAGCGCAGTGCTGCTGCAACATCGGCACCAGTGTCATTGTAGTTTATGGCAGAAATTGCATCAAGTATTTCCTTCCTTCTGTTGAGCTGACCAAGAGAGAACACTACCCTTGCTTGAGCTCCAAACACCACCATACCAATTTGGTCGTTGCCCTCATCAATAGGCATTTCCGAGACAAATGCCTTCAGAAAATGTTGTTGCTCTTGAATGTGTTCAGTTTCCATACTGCCAGATGTATCCACAATAAATACGAGATCCATAGATGTTTCTTGATATTCTGCAAATATATAGATAAGATGTGTAAACGATCGACACATAGGAGACCTAAATGGTTAGCCTTGGCATATCAAGTATAATTTGTGGTTTGTTGCATATATGTGAAGATCATTTTGAATGTGTAGATCAACGCATCATTACCCTGCGTTGATCTACACATTCAACACTCAGAAATATAGTGTAATGACACAGCAAATACTCATGGATAGATAGATATTCTTTATTTCCTCCATAAAATGAACATTACATTTGTATGATAAACAACAGTACAGAAAAGGTTCTAGCTATTAGTACTTATATTATACAGTAATATTCAATTGTGAAAGAACTGAAGGTATTTATGAGCATTGCCGGAGTATGCTCTCCCAACTGCGAACAGAGAAACTAAGCATTACCATCAGTTCTGGCCAAACATTATAATCCAATACATCCTTACAGAGGCCAGGTATACCTCCGAGGAGGAATGACAGGAATACATCATCGTCTTCCATCCACATTTTAACAAAAATGTCTGTGTCAAGAATATCACAGATTCTTTCAAATAGAGAATTCCTTTCTACTAAGTTATACTGGCATGACATAAAAACATGTTTCATAATGTCGTGAGCAACTGTTCCGCATAGACATTCCTTTGATTCTATTGGAGTTGCACCAAGCCTTAACATTCTCGCAATGTCAGTGAAGTTCTGAGGTCGTTCTAAAGCGAGTATCCATAGTCTATGTTCTCGTCCTGATCTTATTGTTAGATATCTGGAGAGAGACAACCTTGTCTGCAGTACATTTACCAACTAGATTTGATCATATGTAGTTAGTTACCTTATCTTTGACTAGTTGCGACCAAGCATTTTTCTTCATAAACTTAGAATCACAAATGTAGTTACGGATTTCACTAAGGACATTGTATTTGGAAACAAGCCGTAACATGTTAAAAACAGGTGATTTCATATCAGACTTATTCTTGTATATCAGTGATTCTTTACAGTGGTATTGGCCAAGGCGGGCTAAAAACATTTGTTTAAAGCTGTATCTTGTGTTAGCATTACAGAGTTTACGAACCACGAACCATACACCATACACATTGTACGTTAATTGACCTTTTAACTTTTATTATACACATACCTCAAAATACATACCCAATCAGTCATCATCTTCATTATTACATTAATTGGTGCCTGTTTTATTTGAACAATGTTTTGATTGTTTCCTGTTAGTGCCCACATAAGTTTTGTGGTGATCAATTAATGAGTTTTGATTATCGATCTGCATATTGTGAGCGACAACTAGCACTGCTGTCCAGTGCAGTAACAGCAGATATGGTGCTTACAACGCATTGGCCATTTTACTCCGAAATTCATGCTCCCTCATTTAACTGGCCCAGCTTGACTCCATTATTGCAAGACCGCCTCCGTGGTGTAGTGGTTAGAGCGTCCGCCCGGAGTGCGGAAGGTCGCAGATTCGATCCCCGACCGCGTCATACCAAAAGACGTTAAAATATGGTACTTGTTGGTCCCTGCCTGGCGCTCGGCATTAGTGGGTACAACAAGGACTGGTCGGCTCGGAGTCAGTATAATGTGTCTGAGTGGGGTATTCATGCTTCACTGCGGCATGTTATCTCAGTGGGCTAGCACTATCAAACCAGCTTCAGTCTGGGCTAGTACAAGCAGCCGCACATACACATACACACGCATGCACGTCGTCATATGAGCGAAATATTCTCAAGTACGACGTTAAACCCAATTCCACCACCACCACCACCATTATTGCAACAGGCAGTGCAAAAGAAATATATGCTTCACTGTCCAACATGAATCGGGAAATTAGATTTGTAACTCTACTTATTTTCTTGTCAAATTTCATAACAGATTTTTCTGATGTAGTTTTGTGTTTAAGTCAGCTGTTGTTTGGTGATGCGTTTACTTATTACTTACTGTTTCCGAACATTTTAGTCTTGTCTTCCTTTTAGTATAAACAGAACACTTCCAGTCACATAAATATCAGAGTAAAGACCTCAGAACATATGCTGACTTGAACCTTTTCTCGTTTAGTGTGTATTTGTTATCTTATCTTTCCATGATGCAGAAGCTTATGCTGTGTATTTTATCAAATTGTGTTAATGGTTTGGCACATCTCAAATTATTCCGCCTTCCAGTCAGTAAGATCTGGTGAGTATATGTTCTTGTCAAGTGTTACGAGACATCGTTCTAGTTTACTTATTGGAGTCATTGTTATTTATTGTTGCTCATCTGGGCCCGGTTGTTCAAAACTCGGTTATCTTTTAACCAGCCGTTAAGTACATTTAGCCGACTGTTACCTAATAACAGAGGGTTATCTTGTTGTTCAAAACTCTGTTAACTTTTAACAGGCTGTTAACGTGACGTTAAGTTAACACACCTAAGGGCCGCCGCTAACTTTTTAACAGTGTGGTTAACTCGCAAATGGCGTTCATGGCTAACACTTCTTTCATGATGCCAGTTCAGCAAAGAAAGGATAGGGTGTATCGTGGACTGGACTTCGATATTGGAAATTATTCTGACGATGATCTAGAGTTACATACGAAACTGTAGCTATGCACATCATAGGAACTAAAATACATGTTGTACAAGTACATGATGCCTACGTTTTATTTTTTAACACTTGTGGAAAGGTTTTTTATATGCTTAACTACACTAAATGTGTGAATTTCTTCTGTAAACATTATTCAAACAAACACTTTCAAAGAATGTAAGACGTACATCCTATACCCACGTATGATATGATATTGAGGCTAAATGTAGATAACTGAATTAGTTTCATGAAAAAAATATCCGAACGATTACTTTATGATACTGAGAGTATAATCGGCGGGATATGGTGATTGTGTATACCCTTATTCTACCGACTTTCACCTCAGAGAAACTACCAAATACACTCCCATTTTAGGAAAGAAAAGCCAGAAATGCCGATTATTACCGTTGTCCTTCTGCGTGGTTTTGCGTCAGTCATGGCGTCACGCTGCACAGAAACTTGACAGTTTCGTATAAACATATCACATTCCTGTATTGTATCTATTTTTAATTTCCTATTTCTTGCTTCTATGCTCTTTCCATGTAAATGGGTGTCTGAAAATTTGAGAAAATGCTACATATTGTAAAGTCTGAAATTTCAAACAGGTGTTGTCTTTCGAGCACAGCATTTGTTTCCACCCCCCAATATCTTTCGTTTAAGTTTATCTAGACACTTGGTATTGGTGACAAAGACCAGTTGTAATTAGGTCCTAAAATGTATGAGGAATTCAGTAGGGCTGGGACGAGTAGGAAAAAATGGAATCGAGTACCCGCATGTACGTACCCGAATCGGAATCGAGTACCCGGAAATGTAAGAAATACATTCGGATCAACGTTCTGAATATTCAATCACGATTTGACAGAGATAATTATCGAAAACTTGAACAGTTGGTAATAAGACATTAAAACTGACCTCAGGCTATTTAATTTAGGTCTGTTTAACCAATATAGAGAGTAACACCATTACTTACATTCTTCGTTATAACAACGAACGTTTCGTTCCTGCTGCTACTTAAGTACTCACTGCTCATGCACAGATAAATTACAGTCAGTAAAACTATGCTCCATTAATCGGACAATACCAATGATGTAAAAACCCGTGAATTTCCGGGTTAGAATATTGATATTCAGTAACCCATGCTTGTCGTAAGAGGCGACTAACGGCATCGGGTGGTCAGACTCGCTGACTTGGTTGACATATGTCATCGGTTCCCAATTGCGCACGTCGATGCTCATGTTGTTGATCACTGGATTGTCTGGTCCAGACTCGATTATTTACAGACCGTCGCCATATACCTGGAATATTGCTGAGTGCGGCGTAAAACTAAACTCACTCACTCACTCAATGATGTAAAAGTGTGTTACGTCAAAAATGAAAAAGACAAGCTATTGCCTGCCCTTGTCATTACAGACCTCTCTCCCTTTCCAGATACGCGATTCCTAGAAATAGGACTCGATTCTGACCCGGATTCGAGTACCCGAGTTCCCGTCCCAGCCTTAGAATTCAGTAATTCATTTGTCGCCGCTGAATATGAAATATAAGTGATGTAATTGGCGTTTCAATACCGGCCTTCGTGAAACGTGATTTTGTAAACACTATCAATAAAATGGGCGCAAAATGCACTGGGGCGTTCGTGTAAGTGTATTTATGAAAACATCTGAACACGATTCCAGGTTTATCGGCAACGTTTCAGAATTTTTAGTGATTTTATGAAAAACTGATATCATTGTTAATTAATATGCTATTTTTTAAAGTCTATACTCCAAGTAATTATCCGATTTTGTTTGGATATGTCCGTCTGGCATCCCTTCCCATAGATGGATTTTAATTATATTTTTACTAATCATTTCAGCAATAGGCCTTATTTCTTTTTCATTCTTCGAATGTTTTAATTGAAGCAAATCATCTTTTAAAAATGCTATATGAATTGACGAAAACTTAGTTAGCATAAACATTGCTCTCGCAACTGATGTGTAGGAAAATAAACAAAACATTATTATGTATCTATTTCTGTTGTGAGTGATATGCAGGCCTACTTCGTAGTCACTTTGATTAAATGTTATATTTGAATATCGAAACCTTTTTGTCACAGCGAACACAACACTATCTCTTGTCATATTACACGATAATATTTGGAATTTTTAACTTATTTTATAACAATATCTGAATGCTAATGTTATACACTGATAGGTTCATATAAGGAATACAATGGCACAATAGTATGTTCATCTATAAATTAGACGCAGCTTCATGTTTTTCAAGACATCATTCCGGAATATGCGTCTGTGAATAATGACGATATTGCACAGTATTATTCATGAGATTCCTGTCAACAGTAAGGTCGGATGATAGATTGATTTTATTCAGCAGTGTTGGTCCTGGCGCCTATAGTACAATTAGTTTGATTACTTGCACGTGGTGCTAGTAACATATTAAGTTTCTATTGGCATTGAATGC